CATCTGACAAAGGAGTCTGAAACAAAAGGCAATGCCAGTAAAACAAATATGTCAAAGAAGAAAATTTCCCCTAAAAATTTAATTAAGATGGAATCCACCAGAAGTTCGAGTAACAAGTGGACAAAAACCTAGTACCAAGATTATTCACATCGTATTGCAAACTTCTGTACGACTGTGTTAAATATCTTCTCAAATAAATCACTTCTAGCTACACCAAATGTCGAAAACAAATTTTGAACTTTGTACGAAACACTTGAAAGTACCAGTGAAATGAAATGGAGGATGAAATTTTATCTGCATTTGCACAATTTCTCTGAACTTTGAAATTTGTTTTCTCTCGTTCCCATGGGAAATTGTTCTCAGTGTTATTTCAGGCAACTATTTATATCATTCTTTAGCTTTAAGAAAATGTAAAAAGGACTGTAAAATACTTAAAATTATTCTGGTACCAGATTTTTGTCTACTAATAACTGAAATTGCTCGATTTTCTATCGGACTTCGTCTTAACCTATAAATCAGAGTGGATAAAAATCTGTCAGCCCAGAAAAACTGCTTTTTCTTAAGGCTACCAGGCCAACGAGACTGAGTCTAAATAGGCCCTTTGCATGATCTGGCCACATGGTACGGAATTAACTATGCTGGGACGCAAGTTGCACAGTGGGACTTCCAAAACAAAGGAACTCATACCAGTCCAGCCCGACTTAGCTTTGTTTTTAAAATCCCACTGTGTAACTTGCATGTATTACAATGTCTCCTAAATCATTCAAGTTTATGGCAGTGCTACACTGCCTGCTTACTTTACAATGAAATAAGTATGATTATACAAACATGAATTAACATACCTTAGATTCAGCTACTGAGGGTGTACTTGCTCCACTCGAAAAGACACCTTCCCCTGACTTCCCACCTGCATCCTATAACACAATGTAAGACAATGTGGCTTAATTAAGCACAGAGAACAGGACTACAACACTGTTTGGCTTACATAAAGACAATACACACTACATCATGGTCTTTAATGTTTTCATTACATGTTTGCTAGATAATGTATTGATAAAGCCAGTTAGACTACTCAGCCATACTCAAACTGTAGTAAATCCAAAACCAACACCAAACTAATTACCTAATTACTTTTGACACTCATTGAAAGCCACTCTAAATTTGTAATGAGAGCTACTTATCAGATGTCAAGTGAATTCTCTTACCCCTGATGTCAAGAGCTTCATTTTTTGAACCAATTCTTCGGCATTGACACCTCCTTGGCTACTGCTTGAAGCTGAAGAAGTGTGCGAAGATGCAACCTGACCAAGCAAAATCACATCAGACTCACTAAACTCTTTGCTACAAACAATACCTTAGATAAATAGGTAGTCTACCCTTTTGAGGACTTTTCCCAACAAAACCACAGGACTAAAAAAGCCCGAATAAAGATTTTGCCTGTGAGCATGTACTCACCTTTTTAGATAGTTCCATTGGATCATATCCAAGAAGAGTTAAGAAATGTCTCCTAGGTTCTCTCTCAAAGTTAATCTGTATCAACAAAGAATGAAAGAAAGAGTGACAAACAAATCGCATTTCAAAAACTAGTACAGTCAGCAAGTTATAAGATTTATATCGTACATGCAACAGATAACAAAAACTTTCAAACTTGAAACAACCTACATGTACACGTAAAATCTAAATGATCACCTTCAAGAAACTCCAAAGTGTTCTCTCCAATTCTTGTGTACTGCTCTCCACTTTAGAATTACAGTACTGGATAAAACTTCCTGAAGCCAAGGCTCCTTCTAACTCATACGACCTGTTCACAAGTTCCTGTTCTGTTGTAACCTGACTGATGTTCACCTAATGAAATTAAATAAATTTATAACATTTTCAGTCAACAGCAGAGATATTGAGCAGAATGCAAATATATCTAACAATATCTTTTCTCCCAGTTCTGAGATTCATGTTGTATACATCAGTAGAGTGAAATATTTCTTTGTCTTAGTATTCCAGGATACATCTCTTAGCCATTAATGGCCATCTGCTAGCCCAGATTTATAGCAATGAATAATCAAGGTCAAATCAAAGCAGTGTAAAACATGCCTTACCTTACAACTCGACTTAGTTGTCTACATAAATCAATAATATATATTGCCACTGTCTCACTACATTTTTACAATTTATCACTCAGGAGAATTAAACCAATGTTAAGTTCAAACCTGGTACTCAATAGACAACAGAGAACTTTGAACAAACCTGACTGATTGGAGATTCCTTTGTATGTCCAAATGATATCAGCTTTCCACCAAACTGGAAATAAGAAAAATTGCTCAAAGTTTAAAAACAACAACCATGAAACTTTTCTGAAAAGTTATCCTGTATACATGTACACTGTAGCTTTCACATTGTCGTAATGGTAGGTAAAGTCTGCATGTGAGCCAAGTGGCTGACCAGGCTGGAGCTTATCCCGGTTTCAGTAACATGAAGCGACTAGGTGTATTTCTACTCCCCCTGGATGGGATGCTAGTCTATCGCAGGTTTTTTTGGTAACTTTATTTTTGCCATTATTGCTCAAATGTTCTGCAGAAATCATCTTAACCATACACATATTCCATGAGCTATTAATGCATTGTTGGGAATTGCCTCCAAGATTGAACCACCAACACACTCACACAAAATCCTGACTTCTACTTTATTGATCACTGGAGATCTCTCTCTCAAGCTCAAGATTACTAAAGTCCCTTTCTATTTATTCCCCTGTTCTCTTGTCTCTCCTATCACTGTCAATCATTCGGTTTGGGTTTCAATTAAAAGGTTCCAAAGTTCAAGGCTATCAGATTCCCACGCGTTGTCTGTCACTTAACACTTTCTCATATCACATTGCTTATAATTAAAACAAAGCTACATCACGTTAATTACAACAGAAGCAACAAATGATAACGATACTCCGCATAATTTCTGACAGCATGCCTAGTCATTCAAACTTACTGCAAATTTTGCTCCACATGGCCTGCGCAGCCACTTGGGAGGCTTCTTTAAGGGGGCACTAGCTGCTCTCTGTTGTTGCTGCTGCTGCTGCTGTTGCTGCTGTGCTTGATGGATCTGAGAAGTGAATGGGTCGTCCGCATCAAATGCACTCATCACCTGCAGAAAAAGAAGACAAGTTTAATTTATACATTCAAAGAATCTCCATTTCAGAACAAGTGAAGGATGGTAGTTATTATACAAAAAGAGATCAAATTAATCAGTTAATGTTAACTCTAATTTGCACTGATGAATATCAACAAGAAAATGAGAGTAAGGGGAAGGTCAAAATTCAAACCAAATATATTAAAAAAAAACATTTTCTAGTCTTTCTGTACATGTATACACATGTACATGTTCTCCTAAATGAACATGCAATAACATCATGTGGTAAAACCACTTGTTGTTCAAAATACTGCCATGATACGGATATATGCAATAAACATCATTTAACCCATAACAACTGTACTTGCTCTGATTGAAGCTCTAAGGCACTTACTTTTTGTTGATGGAAATCTTGGCCAGAAGCACCTCCTCCCATAAGAGAAAACACACTGACATGCCCATCAAATGATGAGGTACACACCACTGCAGGGTTCCTGGGACACCAGGCTACGTCAAAACTCCACTGAGCTGTGGTCGGTAGCTCATAAACAATCTGTGGCAAAACAACATTCAGGGTCCATTGAATCACCATGTTCACTAGATGTTTGGTAAGGCTCAGATATCAGCAACTAAACACAGTCCAAGCACCAATACATGCACATACTTGGTACAGTCCACCGTAAAATCAATTAAAGAAACTTGATGGTAACACTAGAAATAAGGAATGTGTACACACAGCACACATGGTATTAAGTATCAAAGGTTCAGCTGTAGACTTCCAGTCCACTGCCTCCAAATATTACTATTTATATCAGATTTTGGCTAATTCATTAAACAAGTAAGACATAAAAGGACACAATCAGTGTCACTTTCAAAGCTTTAATGCTCTTTGATTTACGAACATGAACATCAATGATTACCTCTCCTCCTGCTTCTTGCACATTTGGATTCCAACACAGAATGCGATTGTCCTAAGAAAGACCCACTAAAATAAGCACTTAAATAAACACTATATTTCCACATGCAAAGCAAAGTGTCTGATCAGGGCATGAAATTACTTCTGACACCTTGAAATGTTCAAGGTAAATTGTAATAATGTCCTTTAATACAGTACCTAGACAAAGACAGGAGGCACAGTAGCACAAAAGTTAATAACCTGAAGACTGGTCAGGATAAAAAGTACCGCTGACAGCAGTATTCAAGTAATAAGGTGAAGGATTGTACATGTGCAAAGTCAGAATGTACTTTACCTTGGCACAACTCATAAGTAAGTCGGGATCCTGAGGACACCAGGCTATTGACAGGATTCCCCTAAAATCATAAACAAGACAGCGTTAAAAAATTAATTTCATATGTTTAGATTTTTAAAAGTTTAATAAATCAAAAAACTAAACTTGCACATGTTAGGACCTACCTCTGATGGCCTTCCAGCACTTTCATGGGAGATGTGGCAAACCTAAGGTCCCACATCTGCAAATTCAAAGGAAAGATCAGTAGATTACAAAATGCATTGTGTATTATTCTTAATAAAAGACCATCAACAATAAAAATTCAAATTCAAATTATAAATAAATAAAACAAATAAATACAAGGGAATTATCAGTGGCACCTCCACAAAGTGGCTATTCATCAACTGTTTACTGTATCGAATTGCAATTTGGAAAGTGTTGCTTTTTGTTAAATATATAAAAGTAAGTGTAAATCACTAATTACAATAACATAAAAAGGAAGAGATAAAATACTCCTACACTGCACTGAAGACATGCTACACACCACCCTGATAGTGTATCCTTAGCATGCACAAACACTGGATACCTCCGTCCGCTGGACAAATGCTAGCATCTCTTTGTGGTTAACTTAGTTAAAATGTATCGAACTGCATCTAAAATGGTAGCTGTTCACTTTTACTCCAATAATTTTAATTGCTACACACCTGAATTACTGGGTATCTGTCATCTTCGGAGGCTAACACCATCTGTGTTGCTACATCTGGATGCCATTCAACAGCCTTACATCGAATCTGCAACAATAACACATAGCTTCACCTTTCATGAACTACAACTTACAGTATACTGCATGCGCAGGTATGTCTGATGGGTCCCTTTTACTTACTGTAGCACTCTGATCACTGACTTTAATGATCGGTTCATTCTTCCTTAAGTCCCAAACAACACAACGGCCGCAGGGAGATGCTGAGGCCAAGATGTGCTGCACTTGTCTGTTCCATGACACACAACTGATGTTATCAGGTGGCAGAGTTTTACTTCCTGGTGTCAAAGGGTTACTAGGGTTTGTCAAATCCCAAATGTAGATCTCAGAATCACTAGCTCCTGATGCCAACAAGCTTGATTTAAAGGGATTGAAGTCCAAAGCTTGGACCGGTCCTAAAGCAAAAAGCATAGAAATATGTTTCGTAAGGGACCTGTAAATCTAGCAGGCAGCCACGATCTTTATCCCCTATTTCAATTGCTTGATTACCTGTATGTTTAGTAGACTGAAAAACCATTGAGTCATCAACATCTCCAGATAGAATCTTGCTTGCATCATAGATGCTAATAACACCATTATCACTACCACCAATTAAAAGTCCCGATGACGAACTGGAGGACTCCATTCCATGTGATCCCCAGACCAGTTTGTGGAACCTTCAGTTGATAAGAAGAAAACAACAACAACATAGTATTGAAACTGACTGCTGATTCTGACTCTAGATCACTTCTGATAAATCTGATTCTTCTGATAAATCATTACATTTTTAATAATTCTACAAAATTTTACACATAGTTGATTACTCGGGTTGGAATTAAAAAGTTGAATAACCCACCTGTGTTCTGAAGCCACAGTTCCTGCAAGTGGCATCTCTGTATCACCACTTGACAAATCAAGAGCAAAAATTTCAAGAGCAGCATTGGTACTAAAAGAGAGCAGGCAAAAGAAGTTGAATAAATCCTTGTTAGAGCACAAGGCCAGTTGGACAACCTTTAACAAGACCAGGATGCAACAAATGCTACTGAACACCGAGCTACAGCTTGCTCACTTAACAAAGATTTTTCAAGGGTCTTCTCGTTAACTTCAACAATCGGCACAGTGGCCTCATGGTTAGTGTGGTTGACTCCAGATTGAGTGGTCTGGGTTGAAGCCCTGGCCGGAGACATTGCATTGTGTTCTTGGGCAAAACACTTAACTCTCACAATGCTGTCAGGATGTACTAAATGTCCCAGTATACGCAATAGGACTGTATATGTTGTCTGCTATGGGAATCATCTTCCCCATCCTCAACTGGGAAATAAGGTTAGTTTGGAAAAAATTGAATGAAAAAAAGTCCACGATGTCAAAATCACCAGAGACTAAATTCTTTCATTCCAACATTATTTCAAAACTATACCAGCATATGGCCATACTACCTGTTCATTATATTACACAAAGAATGGTCCAAATTAGCTGTCCAAACGGTCCCCCATTCCCTCTATGAGATGCACAAGCAGGGATTCATGGCATAAAGTGTCTTGAAGATGTCATATACATGATGAATACAACTACATGTACCATCATTCCTGGCACAGCATTGTCATGGGGGAACTGGCCCATTTCAGTGAGCAAAACATGAAATTGGCATATCTACCTGAAGGTAGCATCAAGCTGTTGAGCCGCTGTTCCTGCTGCTAAATAGATAGGATACTGAGGAGCAGGACTCCATGCAATGTTTGCTGTTCTGTTCACCTCCTTGACTTTCATTTTACCTACAGAAAACAGTGATCAGGAAGGTTTGAGTAACATCAGATATATTTTTAT